GTTGTTACTTCTTCGTGAGATGCCGGCGATTGCATAGCCGCTACCAAGAGCATCGCTTGACAAATTTATTAGCAGTGCTATGCTTTGCAAAGTTTACTTTTCTTAAATTACAACTCTTTATTTTTTCTTCGTAAGATTTTTTATCAATTTTTCCGTCGATCTAGTACTTGCTCCAGATCTTGTGTGATTTTGCTATGACTGCCTATCGAGCAAAAATTTAATTCTTTATACAATTTTTAATGCCATTTTAGGCTAAACTTTCTCAGGCGAGAAGTATTACTGTACCGATTGTTCTCAGCTATTAAAACCGAATAAATATTCATTTACTCTCGCCAAACAGCGAGTCGCATCAAACGTCTAAACAGCCGTTTACTCCCCCGGTACATTTAATTCAGGCCACAAAATCACAATCGCTGTGACGATTACTGCTTTCGTCGCATAAAGTAACAGACAATAGCACGAACTTGATTAGAAACGGACAACTATTAAATTTTTTTAACTTACGCCAATGTGCAACCCTGTAATCCCACCTATTTCCCTCCTCTCACTAATCCTTAACACTTCGACCTACTTCCCTCCACTCACCAACTTCTAACAATCCCATATTACCTACCTTCTCACTTATTAACTACCTTGCCCTCCTTTCCCCTCACTAATTTTCCCTATATAAACCCCTTCTAAAAACCCAGGTTCTTAGTCTCGGAATCAGTGCGCGTCACTGGTCTGCCACGTCTTGCCACAACTAACTCTACTAACTCCGTCTCCCTTTTTGTTCAATAGCTTGTGTGGTGCCTCAGCTCGTCGTTTTATTGAAGTGAAGCTTTTTTTGGAGAATGAATTAAAGTGCTGGTACTCTTCGCTGTCTTTCGCTGCTGCAGCCAAAGATCAACTGAGGACTTAACATCTATTTTCTCAGCATTGACTGTTTTCTATTTCCGTCTGTTTTCAACATTTGTTTCCTCCGCATTTTCCAACTTTCACTGCTCCCATCACAATGCTTCATGGAACTATACCGTCCGTGACAAAAAAGAAATGAAGAATGCAACGCAGTGTTAATAACACATCACATTTAACAGTTAACTAAAAATTGTTTTCACCAGCCGAGCTGGTGGGCACACATCCATCGGGCACTCCCGGGAAAGTATGACTCATTGACTTGTGGCCCTAAAGAGGGCCGTTTGGGTCGTGGGGGTTCGGTGCTGTGCTGAGAGAGACTCAGCCTCCGAAGCCGTACAGGGTACGGCCTTGGCGTCTCAGAGCATAGACCACATCCACTGCAGTAACAGTCTTGCGTTTCGCGTGCTCGCAATAAGTGACCGCGTCACGGATGACGTTCTCCAGGAACACCTTCAGCACACCACGAGTTTCCTCGTAGATGAGACCGGAGATGCGCTTCACACCACCACGACGCGCCAAACGGCGGATCGCTGGCTTGCTGATCCCCTGGATGTTATCGCGGAGAACCTTGCGATGACGTTTCGCACCCCCTTTGCTGAGACCTTTTCCACCTTTGCCACGACCAGAAAAAAACGCACAACAACACGAGACAATGATGTCGACACTCTTTCTTGCTGGTTATTTATATCCTTCGCTTATTTTACCTCGCCGGGACTCCAGTGCAAGCCAC